AGATAGATAGATAGATAGATAGATAGATAGATAGATAGATAGATAGATAGATAGATAGATAGATAGATAGATAGATAGATAGATAGATATGTGTGCATATTAAGGTTACTGCCTCTGAGATCAAATATCTCTATTTCAGGAGAATCGTATCCATGACATCTAAAGCACGTTTACTGAGACATCAGAACAAGAAATGTTAATGCCAGAAAAGGACAAAAATACAGACAAAATAACAAAGATGGAGCGAGGGCTTTAAAAGGGAGCCAGGAAAATGTGTCTCTAAACAAGCACATCTAATCACTGACAGTCTCCAGCAGATTTGGCTTTTTATGGGTCTCACAAGTATTTAAAACTCAGTGTTCCATGTGGAGCACAGGCAGTAGATATCACAGCAATTTTTTTGTTCATTTCCGTTTGTTTGTGTCTCTGTTTTGGCCTTCATATCAGTATAACACATGCTGATAAGTTCAAACTGTAATCTGGAATGCTACCCAAGAGAGTTTCCAATCATAGAAACGTTATGATTTAGCATTTTGCTGTACTAATATGCTGATTGCAGTGTTATAATTACAAAAAATGTCTGGTTTTGGAGCACTAAAAACAATTTAGGTGTAACTAGTGTTCATACATTGTTGGTATGCTTCTTTACTCTCTTTCAAATTGATGTATTGCACACTGTTGTCACTTCTTTGACACCTATAGTTGCTATTTATGTTGAATATGATGAACTATACTGAGCGATACGCTCATATGTTAATTAGACTAACAATACTCTATGAAGAAATTACAAGTAGGTAATGAAACACTCATCTCAAGGTCCATTTAATAGCTGTTCTGAAGGTTTCTGGAAGTTAAGATATTAAAATATCATAAAGGTCATTAATTTATTCATTCATTTTATGGCTCCACTTACTCCATGATTAATCTTTTGTGGGTTACACTGGACATTTTCTGACTTATTTTTGCACATTTCATTGGTTGTTAAGCATTTGATAGTTATGTCTGCATTGTTGTCAGCTGATGAACCTGTTTGCAACAACAACAAAAAACACACTTGCCCACAAGCAGACCCTTGTGCCTATGGCTGAGCCTCTGTGAGACTGCTCGATAGAAGAATCTGGTATGCTTGGAGAGCGTGCTCTGCTTGTTCTGGTTGCAAATGATGCCAGAGCCACATGTTGTCAGGAGGGCAAGAGCCCCTGACGCTCCACAGAGCAGAGAGATAACAGGGTGAGCCATAACAAAGGCGAGATAAATCAGTGGGGGTGCTGTGGTTGTGTTGGTTTTCAGTCCATCATGTCCTACTTCATCCCTCAGACTGCTGGGGTCCTCCTTAAAGGGATATGTGGACTTCTTTGCAGTAAGTACCCAGGTTTATCTGTGCCAATGTGTTTTACGTCTACTAATATCCATTTCGTGACACACAAAACAATCTCTGGTAGATGTTATGGGCTCTGGCTGGGTTTGTTTTTCTGTTCACCCTTCTTGCAAATTGCTTTCAATTACCACCAGTGTGTGAATGTGTGTGTGAATGGGTGGATGACTGTGTATAGTGTAAAGCGCTTTGGGGTCCTTAGGACCAAGTAAAGCGCTATACAAATACAGGCCATTTACCATTAAGTGGTTGTTTAACCTGAACGTGAGTACAATGCTGGTTTATGTTTTGAATTGGTATACTCGGCACTAATATTTCTAAAGTCAGTGTACTGGATATGGCACCGTGATACAAATCAGTCTTATGAGGTAAACTGTGTGTTTATTGGGGTGAGCTGAGAGCAGGTGGTACTATCTACAGCTTGAAGTTGGTGGTCTCCCTTTGCTAAGCCAAGTCAGCAGCATGAATCTGTCTGTTGTTGAATCTGTCCGTTGCATGACTTTATAGGCATGTGTGTGTGTGTGTGTATATCACAGACTGCGTGTATGTGTATCTAACTCTTGTGCTATGGTTGGTGATTTCAGGTAACCCTTCCACCAGCCAAAGCAAAAAAACCATAAAGCAGCGATTCCTCAAACTGCTGCCGTGCTGCAAGCCTTCGACTACCCCCTCAATCAGTCAAAGCAAGTGCTCTTTCACTCTATACATCTCTGCTTTCTCCTACTTGCCTCTTTAGTCAGTTGAGAAGACTGGCGCAGACGCTCGTGTGGATAAAGTCACATCAAAACCTTCAGGCTACACATAAATCTACATACACCCTTACAGACTCCAAAAACTCTACAACTATCTGGTGTTGTGGATTGTGGGTCAGAGCTGTTTTTCTTTTTGTGATTTGAGGCGTGTGCCATATATTTGGGTACTGGAATGTGTGTGTGTTGGTATGTAATATACCAGAAATACCATGTTTACAGTACAGAGGTCAAAGTCAGGTGCAAGCTAATAGGTTCCAGCTAGAATGCAAATGAAATAAGAAATATCTGGCAGTGTCTTTACTTTGAACTTTTTAAATGTCTCTTCCATTTTTATGAGTGATAAACCTCTTCTTCCACTTCCTCACAGGCCACTCGTTGTCTGTAGTGTGCTTCAGCTTTTCAGATAATACTTAAGATGCTGCAAAGATGTGTGGAAATTTCTAGCGTAATCTCACAGCTATGTATGGAAAATAGTGTTTGTTTATGTTTAATTTATTAAAATATCACAAGATATCATAAAGATTTAAACTTTATGATAAGCTCAAGATCTGTTTGATAACTTCAGCTAGATATCTTGGCCAGGTCATGGGGGTTAATGTGGTGTAGATGCTAACTAAAACTTATCTGTCCCTCACAGACAGCGTGGAAGATGACTTTGAGTTATCCACTGTGTGCCATCGCCCTGAAAGCATGGACAAGCTGCAGGAGCAAACTAAGTTTACCAAAAAGGAGCTCCAAGTCCTCTACAGGGGCTTCAAAAATGTAGGTCTGGTTACAGAAGACAGTGAGAAAACAGGGGTTCTAGTTGAATGTGTGCATATCCTGTGCAAGATGGGAATTAATGAGTTTACATTTTTTAAAATGTATTTTCTTTATTTTTTTTCCCAGGAGTGCCCAAGTGGTGTGGTAAATGAGGAGAACTTTAAGAACATTTACTCCCAGTTCTTCCCTCAGGGAGGTGAGTTCTCCCAGCAATAAGCACGGAGAGGTCCAACAGTGCCAGTAGTTTCATTTATTTCAAAATGAAATTAAAACAACAGTTGTTAATGTTAATTTAGCTTTTTGTCATGACAGTGAAGCGAATATAATTATCTTACTCTAAGTCTACTCGGCTTGACTGAGGTATATGCACTGCAGAGAGGCAAAGTGATTTTTCATTTCACAATATTTAGGTTGATGAAATGTTAACCACTCACCTCCAGTTGTATTTGAAATTATTTTTATATCTACTCTATATTTAGACTGCTGCTAATCGCAGCTGTTCAAAGACATGTTTTGAGGGCACACGGGTTACAGTAAGTCTCTACCTTTGCAGATTCAAGTATGTATGCACATTTCCTGTTTGAAGCCTTCGACACGAACAAAAACGGCTCGGTTAGTTTCGAGGTAAGCTCTATTCTATTCTTACATATCAGCTTCTTTTGAGGAATAAAGGAAGATGTGTGCTCTTCTGAAATTTGTCATCACTTGTGTTTGCACACAAATATGTATTTGTACACCCAGATTAGGCTGTGATAAAGGTTTGACTTTATTTACTGTGTCAACATTTAAGTAAAGATAACACAATGCAGGAAACCGTTCCCGCTTTTGTCGCAGGACTTTGTATTTGGCCTGTCTATCATCCTGAGAGGGACCATTAATGACCGGTTAAACTGGGCATTCAACCTCTATGACTTGAACAAGGATGGCTGCATCACCAAAGAGGTAACACACATGTGATTGTTTTGGATTTGTTGATTTCTTGGTCCCTTTGAATTACTTGCTGATGATTACTCATTATCAATATTTTGCAAGTATGTAGAGATTTCTGGCAGAATATTTATCAATGACATTTTCCATCACACAATAAAAAAAAAACATTTTTATTGGAAATTCTCAATACTGTTTTCTCTGTTTCTCGATACACTTTACAGGAGATGCTGGACATCATGAAGTCCATCTATGACATGATGGGGAAATACACGTACCCCACCATGCAGGACGATGCCCCAAGAGAACATGTGGAGAGCTTCTTCCAGGTCAAACAAAACCATGTTTTCTTTCCCCCTCGTTTAATGATTGTTTAAAAGCAGAAAAATATTGATGGCACCAATATTGTTTTGGGGAAAACAATGATGCTGTTAGCCAAATAAATGTCTGGTTGTTGTATTTTCATTTCAGAAAATGGACCGGAATAAAGATGGGGTGGTCACCATAGATGAATTCATTGAGTCTTGCAAAAAGGTAGAGCATTCCAAATCCTGAAGGAGTGTTGAAAACATTTTTAGAAATGCACTCCTTTAGAATCCCACCACACTAATCATGTAACTACAACTGGAGAGAGAGCTAATTGTAGCATAAAGAAAGTCAGGGGAGACATCTAGTCTTGCTCTTTCTAGGAAATCACTGTACCTGACCAAGAACTATTTTCTGCACATAACTCTCCATAAAGCCACAAATTGCACATAAACCCGTGCACATCTCTTACCTCTTTGTAGGATGAGAACATCATGCAGTCCATGCAGCTGTTTGACAATGTCATCTAAACATCTGGACCAGTGAGGACACTGGCACCAGAGAGGGGTACGTGTGTGTGGGTGTGTAAGAGGAATACGGGATTGAAGAGAGAGAGAAAGAGTCTGATTCCATGTGTGTTGCGTGTGTGTGGCTGTCTCCCGACTTGCAAGCTTGTGCTCGTGTCTCTGTTGAGAGCTGAGTCCTGAGGACACAGAGAGGGCCCCCTCCCTCTAACTGGACCCCCCAGTGGCTTCCTCCAAGCAACAAAGGAGAGTCCCCAGCGCCCATCCTCATCATGCAGAACCTTATGTTTTATCCCAGAGACACAGAGAAAGCAAGCAAGCAGTGGGCTCACAGCCACCTGCACACCTAACACCCAACCAGCCCCTGCCTGTTTTATTTGAACTTTTATTGCTCTTGCTGACGGAGGGACTATCACAGCCTTTTAATGGTTGAACTCAGAAGAAGGATGCTCTCCCAAAACCCTGATCTCAGATCACTTTTCCCCTTTCCTCCGTAATGGCTGAGAGATGGCATTGTGAACCTGATCTTGCCTCTGCGGATGTGGGTAACACCTTCCTGGAGCCGTTAAGACTCATGGCTCATTTGCTGGCCATACAAATAGAAATGAATCTACAGCCACCTGGTGGACAAGAGAGAAAAAGACACTTCCTGAGGGAGCAACCAACAAACTGGTGATCCGAGCGATTCCGTCTTACGGAGGGAGCTTCAAACTCGTTTTTTCCACAAGGGACTGATTTAAATATCGCATGATGATGTCACTAATATCTACTTATGTATTTACAGAGATACTCCAAAGTCTGCTCGTCTGTCTGCTGTCCTAGTCATTCACAGGTGCCTCACCCTTTGCGTATGTGTGCGTGCATGTGTAACAGGAGATGTCATCTGTCTTACAAATGTAAGACTCTTGTGACACAACACCCACCTTCATTCACAAGATTTCGGTAGAGTAATTCCCGGCCTTCCAAACTATTACAATCCTAACAGTAGTTGTCTATTGACTGTTGTACATTTTCTAGCATTCCCAGTGGTGTGATATTAGGCTGTACAATGTGGGGATTGCACTATAATTTAATGAGCCGTTTTGACCCTAGCAGCTTCTCTCGACATGGGAATGACATACCACAATCGTACTAGTCTATGAATATACATTCAAAGAGAAGTTTATTAGATTGCAGATTGTATTTGTGAACTTATTGTAATCTGAAATGTCATGTGGTTGTCACAGGTTCTACCACTTGAAAAAACAAAAGTCTCCACACCCTTTTTGCATTAAATCTGACTATTTCCATTTCAAGGAGGCATAAAGTGATTGTGTGTAGCAGGGGAAGACAAAGTTTGATAGCAGTTTTCTTTTTTCTGTGCCCCCATTGTTCACTCCATTTCTTATTCTCCCTCTCTCTGTAACACCAAAGAAAAGATATCAATTAAAAAGGTACATAAAGCCACTTAAGGCAAGACATTTAGCCCACCTGTGGGTGAAGACAGAGGGAGTTACTGGGTATCAAGCTGGATAAGGGGCAATCAGACATAAGAGGTAGACTACATGTAGTTTACCTGCACGCTGTCAAGTGCAATTTTAGGTTGTGAACCCATCCATTAGGCTCAGATTAATTATTTTAGAGCAATTTGCAACCACTTATTTGCTTCTTTTCACACTAGAACTAAGCAACACAAATGTGAGATGATGTGAGGCACTCGGGCCGTAATTAAATCGGCCAAGTGTCTTAAAAGCTGAAACAAACATGAAATAGCAATAATGTTCTCCACTCACTTAACGTCTCCTTCCTCTCAGAGCACACTATAACGGCCCTGGTTAAAATATGCACTTCCGGCCCTGCAATTTCTTATTTTTTTATGTTCTGCAGTTTTTACATTTATACGTTCTGGAAGAATGGTTTGGCTCTGATTGTTCCTGCCCACAGTTACGTTATTTTCCCCAAACACAAGGAAAACCTGTCTATACCCGCATGTACTGTGTCTAGAACAATGAAAACCTACTAACCCGTGGTACTGACTGTCTAGCTAGCCTAAACTGGTTGCATAGCATATTCAAAATGTGTATATTTTGTACAGAGATAATAAAAAAACAAAAAACACAGTTACTATGCAAAATGGACTGGCGTGTGAATTTATCAGACTATACATAAATTGTCTTTATTAAAATAAGTCCTTTCAGTGAGATAAAGTACAAAGTACCTGTAGCAATAACATTTGACATTTTGACCTGTCACAGCAGGAAAAAACAGTGTATATCAGCTTAAGTGAGGACCTGCTTTTATTCATTCTGGTACACTTTCAGTGCTTTGGGAGAGTCATCATAAATTCCCCTTTTTTCCACATCTGTGAGTCCAAAAAAAGGGAAATAGGCAATGTCCATAATAATATTCAAATTATGATTCATCATAATGTCAACAGGAAACATTTACAGCTTAAATATACATAATTACATAAACCATCCCAGGAGCCAGGTCTCCTTCCACTAACAGGCAGTAGTATCTATGCAGATTCACCCGACCATGTGACAATTTCATAACCAAAATGTCATCCAGAACATTTTTTAAAAGTGTGAGCATCAACAAATACAGTAATTCAGTCTACATTTCTGAAGAACCAGCTGACTGCAAACCATGTACACAGCCTTCAACTGCCAGGTTATTAAAGCTGAAAATTTTGTTTTGTTTTGTATGTTCTAATGAAATTCCTGGCACAGCAAAACACTTCACAAGTTGGGTTTCTCTGACAGCAAAAGCTTTCGCAATCATTTGAGTGTATTTCTGATGACGGCCTTGATGCATATTTTTTTTAAGGACTCTCATGTGTAAAGTATCATGAGAACAGCAAGTGGGACATGGATGACCGGTGGAAAAAAAATCTCAAGTAAAACTGAATTTAATGAATGTGATTTCTTTTTTTTCCCACTTTAGGAATATTATCTTTATTTAAATAAAGTTTAACTTGTATTGTGATTTCTATTACTCGTGATTGGGGGAAAAAAAGATTGCAATGTGCAGGGGTGAAATTGTTTGAGCTTTTTAAGTGGGGGCTGACATACCCCACTGAACAGATGCTTCAGCATATACAGAAAAGTCCATCATTAAATAAAGAACACAGTTTCATGTTTTTCGAGTTCACTACTGCCTCTTAAAACTTTGACCTGCAGCGCCCAGGGATAGGTTTTCTCTGTAAAACAGCAGAAATTTACTTGGGCATTCTGCGAAGCTCTGCCAGAACCCAAATAGCCAGCGAGAGAAGAGCCACTGAGCCAGACTGGTGAGTTGCAGCCAGCGGAGTGGGGACATAAAGTAACAGCGTGGCGATACCCAGTGCAACCTGAAAAGCACAAAAGCACAATTTGTTTATACTGAAGGGTAATGGACCTATTTGTATAGCAATTACAGTGTCTTCTAGCCTACCTGTGTATAGGCCATTGCTGCCAGGAGGCTGATGGCAATCTTAGCCCTCTTGGGAAGCATCATTCTCCTTGAGAACAGATACAGGCCTGTAATTGCAGTCAGAGAAGTAATCCCCTGGGAAAAGAAAAAGACATCTTGAGGGGTACATATTAACATTTCATTACACATCAATCTAAAAGAGTTATAAAACTTGGAAATATTATGTTTAATTAGAATAAAAACAATGAAATGCCAACATTTTTTAGCTATAATAGCATACCAAAATTCTATGATCAAATTGCACAGTGGTGGGATTTTCGAAGAAATTCTTGAGGGTCGGAGAGAAGGCCAGCAGATCATCAGGAATCCATCTATCTGCCATCTTAGGGAAGGAGTTATAAACAAGCCCAGCATCCAAACCAGCGACAAAGGCACCTGTGTAAAGGTACATGCATAAATGATTCAAATACATCTCCATGAATAGAGATTAAACCACATTTGTATTGCCTTTAATTACATTAACTTTACTTTTCTACACAACCGCTCAACCCATTTGCCCTCTAAGAGCCAACTTTACAAAAGACCTTTCGATTAAAATCAAATCAGATGAATAAGCTTTTTGTTTCAACATTTACCAAAAGCCAAGATACAGTACTCAAATTGTAGCCCAAAAACATTACATGGGGTAGCAGGCCAAATGTCTTTCCTCAAACCATAAGTTTCAGAGTCAAAGTGTGAAGCTTCGTACAGACTGTGAAGTGACTGGCGTAGTATGCGCCTGTTAAGAGAGGAAATGTGACACTATATACACTTAGGGTTACCCTAATGGAGTCAGCTGTGAGTTGCCATGAATGACTCTGAGTGACTGTCACTCTAGTATTCATTAGTCAGTCTTGTTGTGAATTTACAGTTGAAGAATTTTATGTAACACATTGTGCTTTTTGCAGACGCAAATAAGCAGAACACTTTGAAGATGTATTGTGGACTCCTACTCTTCCGGGACTGAAAACCATTTGCACATGTCAAATTCTAACTGCTCCTCTAGCATCATTGCCATTTACCAAGAGCTTCCTATGTTCTGTCAGAACAAGTGCCACTTTAAAGAACACCTATGCTTCTATGATGGTCGTCTTCACTATTAACATCCTGCTTTTTGAGAAATTTCTGTGCAATTTTGCTGTAGTTACAGGTAGTTCACTTTGTTTCCCCAAAGTGGCTTGAGACTGAAAGCAGCACTTCGGTAGACAGATTCTGCGACCCCATTTGTGACACTGAATTCTCTTAAGATCCAGTATTACCTGAAAGAGCAGTGAGGAAGACGAGTCCACCAGTACCCTTGGCAAACCTCCTGAGCTGCATGAGTTTTTTGGTTTCTGCTATCTGTGAAAAAGGTGCCATTATTCAAGTTAAAAAAAAGACTGTTTCACTTTACATTTCTCCAAAATTTATCATTTGTGTTTTTTCTGTAGGCAAGAGTCCCTCTGTACCCTGTGAGCTGGCAGCAGCAGAGTAAGCCCTGTCCACATACTGGCACAGTAGAGCAATAAGGCAGAACCAAGATGGGCGCTCAGACGATACTGGCTGACACGAGGGATGTCATGAGACTCGGGCTTCTCCTCCAACCCGCTTTTCACCATGTACCACCCCAGAAGGCCCTGACAAAACAAACACATGTATACACATTCCTTACTTTACATTTATAATAAACCCGATGGTGACAATAATTAAATATTAGTACAATCAACCAAAACAATGCTATAAGTGACTGAGAATTAGCTATGACGTAAATCCAAAACACATCTGAAACTAACAACGCAGCCTGTTCAGTACAGCTGATTCCTTCTGTACAATTCCGGCTACTTTTACGCCGGAGTTTTTAAACTTGTCAGTGACAGACTAACGTCTCAATATACGGAATGATAATTATAGCATAAAATATAAGGACTCAGAAATGTCAGCAATGTCAGTGTGAAAAGAAGCTGCAACTACCAGAATATAAGTGAAAGAATGCACAAAGAGGTAGAAAGCATTGAGGGACAAATAAGTTTACTAATGGCTACTTCTGCAGGTTATGATGTAGGCTCAACAAAGATTCACTGCAGAAGTCTAAATCAGGCATGAGGTAATGATTATTTCCAGTGATCTTCTCATTTCCACAGCTGTGTCTTACCTGGAAGAAGACAAATCCACAAAGACCCAGCACTTTTCCCTTCATGGAGCGAGTGAAGTATCCTTTTTTCCAGAAGTAAATAGTGGGGAGGATGTATGCCAAGCCAACCAGCCTGCCCCACATACGATGTCCCCATTCCATGTAGAAGATAAACTTAAACTCTGGCAAAGTCATGTTATGGTTCAATCTAAACAAACAAAACACATAATAATACCAAATTAACTAATTGCCGCATTAGAGGCCAGACCAATACATAACACAGAGACACATTTAATTAAATTTATCAGGCCTTTATGTACTGTGATTCTGAAAAATGAGACCTTACATTTTGAATTCTGGAAACTGCTGGTACTTTGAAAACTCAGCTTCCCACTCTCCTTCTGACTGTGGTGGTTTCATCTCTCTCACCAGATGCCAATCAACCATGGAAAGCCCAGATTCTGTCAGTCTAATAAAAAAATAAATACATAAAAATACAGCAATGTAGTAAATGCCTGTTAACAGTACTTCAGTGAGTAAGTAGTACATACAGACATACTAATTTTAAAACATGCGTACCTTGTGACACCACCCAAGACAATAGCCCCAACCACCAGTCCACTGCAGCCAAGTAACCATCGACCCACTATGCGATTTGAGGCTGCATTGGGGACAGAAGCTGCTGCTGCTGAAGTGGACGTTCCTCCCTCCACTGTGACGGTGCTGTGACCTCTCTTCAAGAGCCATTTTCGA